GAATGCTGCTTCCACACACATCCCAGAGGGTGTGGGGCTGGTTTGAGCTTGGAAGTAGGTATTGGCTTGGTTCATGCCTCGGGACAGGGATGGAAACCCATATTGTGAAATGAGTTTTTGGCAACTGGGAAATCAAAGGGCATCTGCAGTGCAAGGGCAGGAGGTGACAGGGACACTCTGCAGGCAGGTGATGGATGGTGAGAGGTGATAAACCTGGCTGGGCATAGAAAAGCTCCCAGCTCTGGGCTCCCCACTCACAGAACCCTCCTGGAGAAGGGCCCAGGCTGCTGGTTTGCTCATGGAGTGACAGAGGTGGTTGGCACCAAGCATAAAGGAGCCCTTTGGCTGGGCCAGTCCTTTCCAAGCGGAGGAAAAAGCTGAATCCCCCCTTTCAGAACACGACCCTTCCCTCCAGCTGCTTCAACGCCGTCAGTGAGAGATCCAGCACGAGAAGCCAGCCCCGGGGAAAACCTCCAGGAGAGCAGGGACTGCCTCACTGAGCAGAGGGAGATGCCAATGCCCACCTTTTTGCACCCCCAGGAGCATCTCCAGCTGGGCTCCGGGGTTGGCACACGAGCCAGGTTTGTTCCCCTTCCCGAGGAGCAGCAGGAGCCACAGGCACGTTCCTGCTGAGCCCCTGACGTGCCTTGGCCATCCAAGGGGAGAAGGGCCTTGCTGGGCAGGCAGCTCAGGTGCTGGGAGCACTGGGAGCAGCCTTCCCAGTGCCTTGCTGGCTCACTTGCCATGTCCAAACAGCTCCAAAAACCCGGGAGAGCGCAGTTGGCTCCGCTGGAGCACAAAGCCCCGATTCATCCACTCAGGTGCCTCTGAGGCTCCTGAGAAGAATCATCTCCTAGAAACCAGCCCCATTTGGACCTGGCTGCAGCTCGGGTACCACCCAGCCCCGGGGGGAAGCTCTGGCAGTGGGAGGGGAAGCCCGGCTTCCCCTCTGGAGCCCTGTGCCTTCCCCGCGCCGCAGCCGGCGAGGAATTCAGGAATTCTCCTTGGCAGCCCGCAAAGGAGGTACAGCTGCATCCCACAAATGTGTTCCAGGGCTGAGAGAGCTTCATTTGTCGTGGGACCATAACGAGAGCAGCTCGCTGTGCCTCGGGGAAAACCATAGGATGCTGGAAAATCACTGAGAGCCCGATCCAAAACCCCTCCTAGGCAAGGCCAGTTTTCTCTCTCTGAGCTCGGGCATTAACCAACCATCCTTTATCCCTCCCTGGAAAAGGGGGGAGAACAGTGTGTTTATGCATCTCGTGACCTGCCCCTATCTGGAAATAAGCAGCAGGCTGTGGGGCTTGGAACTGAAATGTAATTTAAGTTGCTGCTGATGTTCCAGTCCTCATTTACCACAGCTGAGCCTGGTGCAAAAGCACGTTCTGCTCCTCCCCAGGCAGCCTCAGCACACACAGACAAGTCCCCTTGAGCTTTGATTCTCCCACCCTCTGTGAACAAAGCCTGTGTCTAAAGCTGTCTTCTTACAGCCAGGCCAGAGAGAGAAAACCAGGAAAGCCTGAGCCAGGTGCAGCCACAGCAAAGGAGGGAGGAAAAAAGGTGACTTTTGAATGTTCTTTTTTTGAGCTGGAGCTGAGCACAAGCCAGCTCAGAGCCAAGGGCTGAGGTACCACCTGAGGAGATGGGAATTAAGAGCTCACAGAAACTACCAGAGGGGATTTCTGAGCAGCCACCAGCCAGACCCACACTCCTGGTTCCAGCCACCAGCCAGATCCACAGACCTGGTTCCAGCCACCCCTTCCCTGAGCTCTGCCCATCGTGTCGTTGCTGAACATCCGAGATGCCAAAACACTGACCTGGTTTTGCTTCCTGCACCAGAAGTTCCCACCTCCCCACCACCAGCCAGGCTGCCAAAGTAAGCAGCTACTGCAAATACTCAAACTTCATATTTACATTTGGATTCAGCACAGGAAGCATGTGTTTTCCCACTGCTAAGGGGAGTGGGGAAAAGCTGGGACCACAGGCTGGCATTGTATTCCCTGTCACTGCAGGGTTGGACAGCGAGGCTTCAGGGCACAGCTGGATGCATTTGATGCCTCAAAATGCCCAGAAAAGTGGCCTGCACAAGCTTGGAAAGTCACCCTGGGGACAGCACATGGAGGGCTTTGGCCAATCCCAACTTACCAGCCACGCTGGAGCAGCCCCTGCTTCCCACCCCAGTGGACACTTGGGATAACAAACAGTCCAGCCCTTCAAAGGGAACCACCCACAACGTACCACAGAATCAGTCCCAGACACAGGAATTCAGCCCTCAAAATTAAAATTTTTGAAAAAGGTTAAACTGGATGCAGGGCAAATGTTGTCAGGTGCACTCAGCTCTGGATGTGGGACCTCTCAGCATCTCCGTGCCAAGTCTCAGGGGGGTGGGGAGGCCCTGGCACAGGTTGCCCAGAGAAGCTGTGGCTGCCCCATCCCTGGGAATGTCCAAGGCCAGGTTGGAGCAACCTGGGCTAGTGGAAGGTGTCTTTGCCCATGGCAGAGGGATTGGATCAAGATGGTCTTTAAGATCCATTCTAACCCAAACAATTCCACGATTCTATGAAATCTGATACAGAAATGGAACCATTTCACCAGAGGACTTGTGAGCACCATTAGTCTGCTCATTCAGTGTCCCCAAAACTGGAAACATTTGGTCCTTGCACTCCCAGCACCCCCAGCCAGGGGCAGTTTCCCCCTCCTGGTGCTGTGAACTTGGACATGCACAGAGGAACTGTCTCCTCCACAGCAGTAACCCCCAAAGCAGCAGAAGCCCAGCACAAAGTGCCTCCACACCCTATGGATCACCTCTGACAGCACTCCCAGCACTCGATCCTGCGGGACTGGAGCAACCTTTGGAGACAGCCAGCCTCAGGAAGCTGGCATTTCCTCACTTCCTCCAGACTTTCCCTTCCTCCCAGCCACAGCATCCCAGGAAACGTGGCTGTGGAGCAAAAAGCCTGCCCTGCAGACAAGGGCAATGCACAGGGCAGCCACCACGTGCCCTGGGCAACCCTTTTCTAGGGAAAAAAAAAATTAAACAGGGACTTTGGGACCTGCTGACTTGTGGAATCGGCACTAGGGGTGTGAGATTTATCCTCCCAGATCTTTATGGCACAGCAAAGGCTGAGGAGGGGCAGCATCACTCAGATCCCAGGCACAGCTCATGATCCCAGGAGATCCAGCCAGGGCAGCACCAGGCCATGCCATGAGCCAGGGGGAGAACAGCATCAGCCAGGGATCAGGCAGGGCAGAAAGGTGCCATAAACATCTGGCAGGTACCCTAAAAACCTGCTGGGCAAGAGGAGAAAGGCTGGGGAAAAAGGACCTCAGCAGTGGTTCAGAACCAGGAGGAGCAAATCCAGCAGAGGTGGAAAGGATGGAGCGACAGATGTTGGGAGCAATCACCCCCCAAAAACACACAGACCCCCAAAAACACACAGGCCCCCCAAAATCCCACGTGGCTCTGCCCCCTGCCAGCAGCAGGTTCCTCGGGACTCCTGCAGTGCCCAGCTGGCAGCAGCATCCCAACCATGGTGCTGTCCCTGGCACTTCGGTGCCCCAGGTCACTGCCCAGCAGGGTGGAGCCAGCAAGGTAAGGGCAGCACAGACAAATATTGACTTGCCTGTGGGCATGGGGAGCTCTACCAGCGCTGGGAATGAAATCCAGCGGGTCCCGGCTCCCAGCCCTCTGCTTTTCACCCCATCGCCCATCGGAGTGTTTTGTAACTCCGCGTGGCACCGCCCAGAGAGACGCTGCCTCTTCCTAAACTTCTTCACGCTTTGAACCAGGCGCTCACAAAAAACGCAGCTCGGCGCTGGCAGGGGAGGAAACAGCCAGTGCCGGGCGGCAAAAACAGCCCCCCAAAAACCCATAAACCAACGGAGCCCCCGAATCGCGGAGTTACGGGAAGGTGCGGGAGGAGAAGGTGGAGTTGGGACACGTTCGGGAGGTGGTTGTGGCAGCCCCTGCGATGACCCGGCCGTGCTGGGTCCTGCGGCACCACCGAGCGCTCCCTGTCCTGGAACCGATCCCGACTCCCGGCCCGGAGCGAGCGGCAGCTGAGCGGCTGCTCCCGGCCACCTCCCTCCCCAGGGCTGTTCGGAACACACTCGGCTTGTAACAGCAACAAAAGCTTTTTCAGGTCACCTTAAGGCTGTCTCAGGGGAAGGACAGGCAGGAATGAAGAACCAGCCGTAAGAATCCCCCCCTGCCCCGCAGCGCGGGTGTGTGTGTGTGACCCAGCCCGGCCCCTGGATGTCCATTTATCCCTTCTGAAGCCACAGCGGAGAAGGAGAACCAAGCAGGGACGATGTCCCCAAGTCACACGGGCTCTGCCACCACCCAGAAAAACGCTGAAGCGACAGCGTCTTTGGGGGAAGCCGGGGGAGGCACCACCAACACACCACATGCTCCAAAGTATATCTTTTTTTTTTCACCTCGCAACCCACAAAGACATTTCAAGCAAGTTTTAACGCTTCTCCTATTTTGGGATCCCCTCTCCCGCATCCCCAGTACTGGGGACCGAGCCCGAATGGGAAAGGATGCTCCCAAAAGTCTTGGAGAAAGCGAGAAAGCCAAAACTCCGTGGAGAAACCACGGGGCCAAAGAGGGCTTGGGGTGACCCGGAGAGGGGCGGGGGTGGCAACCGGGGGACGGGATGGCGCGGGAGGTGCGACTTTATCCCGACCACCGGAGCTCCGAGCTCCGACAGCGCGCAGCCGGCGGCACGGCAAAAGGACACGGGGACACGGGACACGGGCACAGGGCGAGTCGAGGGGCACAGGGCGAACCCAGGGGCACACGCGGGGGCCGGGGGCAGGTCTGAACTGGAGCCGGAGCCGGTGGAAGCGGTGCCCGGGATCCGCGGGCGCTCCGGTGGCCGCTGCCGCGGGGACGCGCTCGCCGCGGGTCGGGATGGGATGGGACGGGATGGGACGGGTCGAGAGGGGATGGAATAGGATAGGATGGGACTGTCGGGTCGATACGACTCGCTCCTTACCTGCGGGAGGTCATGGCTCCGCGGAGCTCCGCTCCCGGCCCCGCTCCCGCACCGACTGCCCGCACCGCCGCGCCCCGGCGGGCGCTGGGCCCGGGCGGCCGGGGAAACCCCTCCCTGTGACGCGGGGGAATCCCCGCCCTCCGCCCCGCCCGGGCCCCGCTGCCCATGCCCGCAGCCTCCCGCCCCGCTGCCAATTCCCTGGGTCTGTTCCCCCGCGCCTTTGCCCTCCTGGATACGCGTTCTCCGCGTCTCCATCGTACCCGGGGCTTGGCAGCGCGGGGGAGTTCATGGGATGGAGTCGCGGAGTCGGTACGGTGGGAAAAGCGCTCCCGAGATCATCCACTGCAACCATGAACCCGGCACAGAGCTCACCACGAGACCGTGCCCCCCCCAGCGCCACATCCACAGGGTTTTCGGACACTTCCAGGGATGGTGGTTCCATCACTGCCCTGGGCAGCCCCTTCCAATGCCTGACCACCCTTTCAGCGAAGAAGTTTCTCCTCATATCCAATCTAAACCTCCCCTGGTGCAACCTGAGGTTGTTTCCTCTTGTCCTGTCTCTTATTCCCCGGGAGCAGAGCTCGACCACCCCCCCGGCTCCCCCCTCCTGTCAGGGGGTTGCAGAGCCAGAAGGTCCCCCCTGAGCCTCCTTTTCTCCAGGCTGAGCCCCCCCAGCTCCCTCAGCTGCTCCTGCTGCTCCAGCCCCTTCCCCAGCTCTGTTCCCTCCTCTGGACAAACTCCAGCCCCTCAATGTCCTTCTTCTTGTAAGGGGTCCAAAACTGAACCCAGGATTTGAGGTGTGGTACAAGGGGACCAGCAGCAATTTAAGACATCCCTCAGTACCCAAACACCGCTAAAGGTCCAGATTTTGGGGCTGAGTTCATAAAAGTTCATAAAAGCTGCCAAAATAGTGAAACAAGCCACAAAGCACTGAGCATCCGAGGCTGGTGAGGCTCAGCCATGTCTGTTATCCCTAAAAGCCCCTGACTCAGGGGTGCTTTGGAGTCAGGAGGGCACAGTGTCCCCAGGGTGGGTCCCCCACTCTCATCCCAGCATCTGTGGTGACACCAAAACCTCCCACTGGGATAAACTGGGGACCAGGTGTGCTGTAGCCACGCTGTGCACTTCAGACAAATAAAGCACATTTTGCCATCTGAAGGCGTAAATTCAGAGGCCTTTAACAAACTCATGGGGAATATCTGTTGCTTCCCATAAAAGACAGGAATTAACCCAAAGAAATGCCCTCAATCTGGCACCTTTCATGAATGCTGGGTGAGAAAACAAAGCCAGCTGTCTAAGAGAGAGAAAAAGCCAGGACACAGCCAGTGACACCCTCCCCCTTTCTCCCCCAGTCTGCCCCTAGTGTCAAAAATAGCAGTTTTATAACTATAATAAGACTCAGCGAATTCCGTGTCTATTCGGGGAATACCCAGGGAGCTGGCAGCAGGAGCCAGCTCATTTCTGACTTCAGCTTCCCTGAATGCCACTGGATTGCTCACAGGGCAACGGGGACCACAGAGGCCAAATAGCAACCCTGATAATGGTGACCCCTGGGCTCTCCTTCCTCCTCTCCCCTCCCATTGAGGCTCCTGGGCACTGGGACCTTCTCTCGGGGCACTGAGGCTCCTTTGTGAGGCCAAAAATGTGACTTGTGTGTGTGTCACTGGGATGAGACCCTTTCTGGTGGGCAGGGAGGGACGTGGACAGCGGTTCAGCTTCTTGGTTAAAAAAAGGAAAGCACTGGAACTGTTCTCCCCTCTTTGCACTGGTTTCCAGGCTGTGAAACTGGGAGGCAGAAAACTGGGGAAAACAGTCCCTTCCTGGGAGATCTTAGCCCTCCTGTCCATTGGAATGCTCTGATCCCATGGAATTAACCCCCCCAGAGGAATCCAGACCCTGACCTGGGAGCTCTCAGCATCCAGAACATCCCATTCTGTGGGTTGTTGGGAATGTGCCAGTTGGGAATGGGCACCTGCTGCCGTGGAGATGGACCATGGAGGGGTCTGTGGGACCCCTCTTGCTCTCTGGGCTCAGTCTCAGCCTGGCTGGCAGCAGCACCCTCAGGAACGAGCCAGTTCATCCACGTGTCCCTTCCCAGGAACCAGCACTCTGGAAGTGTGTGAGTTTTCATCCTGAAAAACAAGCCTTGCTATAAATCTGCTCCACTCAGGAGATGAGGATGTGTGTGTGGACCCCCTGGAGAAGGTCAGCCAGCCTCTACTGCCACCTCAGCACGTGGAGGAGGAACAAGAATGTTTATTCCACCTTTTTTTTTGGCAGAATTCCCACCAAAAGTAACCCAGACCCTCATTAGGCCCCATTTACATATTAACTTTCACATCCCTGAGGCTAGAAATGAGGAAGAACACGAGGTCTGTGATACAGGTATGACCAAAGCCACCAAATCCAACCTATAACACGTGGTTGGAGCCCAAAAATTTATAATGTAAAAGCGGGGGGAGCCAGAAAAGTCAGAAATGGAAAATACACTATTTGTGAGTCTGGAACATGCAAATCCTTATTGAACATAACCAGCCCTGTAGTCCTGGGTTGGTAAATTGAATTATTTGTGGATCTGTGTTTTTATAGGACCCAACCAGACCAACAGTGCTCAGCTGGTTATAATCAGAAATTAAGCCCAGCTGCCCCCTGTGATCTCTGAGCTGGAACTCAAGGGGGGTTATTTCCTGCTGAATTTCTGTGCCTTTAATGAAGGTCCCCCTTTGACTGGAGCCCCAGCTCAGGGCTTTAAGGGTGGATCAGCTGCTCCTGGCCCCGCATTGAAGGCCCAGAGAGGCTCACACACAGCCAGGCTGGGATTCCCAGAGAGAGCTGAGGATGGGTGACACCACCCAACCCCAACTGCTGCCTCCTGTGCTCCCAGTGGGTGCTGCCTGGGCAGCCAGGGATGTTCCTGGGAGCCCTGGGAAGCTGCTCAGAGCACGGGCTGCCAAAAGCCTGGCCAGGCCACCCCCGAGTCACACTTGCTGCCTGCCCAAGCGTGCCCCCAGCGTGGCTCCTGGCCTTTCTCCCTTCCTCCTTCCCCTCACAATGGCTTTTTCCACCCTGTAGTAAAAGATCCCTCCAGCTGCCAAGGGCTCTTTTCCCCTCTGGCCCAGACAAGGGTGGCTTTTTCTCCCTCAGAGCTGGCAAAATGCCTCTGGAAGAGGGACTGGCTTCGCAAGCCCGTGCCTGTCGTGGCATAATCGAGTCATTGTGGAGGAGAGGCTGCACCAGGAGGCTGATCCTGAGCAAAACATGGCCCCAGTGGTGAGCTCTGCATCCCCCCGTGGCTGCTCACACACTGGCCCTGTTGTTTCCCACTCGGAGTCTGTGCTGGCTCATTGTCCACCCCAGAGCCAGTTCAGACACCAATCAACTCCCATCACTGCTGGGATCAAAATGACTCCATTTGCTAAATTAACTGCTCCCAGATGGCAGGAAAACCCGTGTCCTGGTCTCACTTCACCCCGCTTGGATGGACCTGGAAGCTCTTTAATGAATGAAATTCTCCACCTCTCGCCCTTTTCTGGCAGAAAGATGATGCTGCAGGTGCAGGTGGGGGAGCCAGGTGGGAAGGCACCATCAGGAAAACCTGTTCAGGGCAGGAATGGAGGTACTGGTCCATCTCACAGGATATCCCAAAGATCCCACAAGGATCAGAGTCCAACTCCTGGCCCTGCACCCCCAAAAATCACCTCCTGTGCCTCAGAGTGTTGTCTCCAACCATATCCTGCTGGAGACTGGCTTTCCATGGCCCGGGGGAAATGCTGCCATCCACGAGGAACAAGCCACAGGAGCATCACTTCAGTCTTGCTGACGTGGTGTGGTGCCCATGGGATGCAAAACCTCTTGGGAAAATGATGCCCATGGGATGCAAAACCTCTTTGGAAAACGCTGCCTGAGATGAAGTGATAAAAGAACAGCTGGGAAAGGGGAGGGAAAAAAACCCTGGAATAGCTGCAACCACTGTGATGGCCACAGAGGAGGGGAAGGAAAGACACACAGATCCTGCAGACCTTGAGTGGATGGGATTGAGGTTGGAATTCATAAATAAGCTGAATTTAGAAGATACAGCAGGTTACCTGCATGAGACATTCAGGTTCTGAGGGAAATCTGTCCAGGAGACAGTGAACAAGTGTGAGATAAAGTACAAAAAAAAAAAAGAAGCAACAGGCCCCTTAAAAACATATTTAATAGTTTTCAAACTTTATTTCATGGTGATTGACGAAAGACACAAGTTAGTAATGGTTATATCATGCTGCTCCTCTACTGTGCATTGCCCTTCAGAATTCATACAGCAGTTCACAATGGTCATTAATTTACCCTATAAATGAAGCCACGTGGACATTTAAAAAAAAAAGAGCAAAAAACAAAAACCAAACAAAAAAACCAAACCAAACAAAAAAATAAAAAAATAAAAATTAAAAAAAAAAAAACACAAAAAAAACAAACCCAGAAAAAAACCCAAACCTCAATGTCTCTTTTTTTTGTTTGTTTGTTTGTTTGTACATACATGTTATAAATGCTATTAAAAATAAAGCCCCAGTTAAGTGCATGGCCCCAAAGGAGCACTTGCTGAGCCTGACCTTGGTTTGAGATGCTCCACAACGAGGACACCACGTCCTGTTTTAAGGCATTTCCAAGCCCCAGCAAAAGCAGACAGAGTTTTTTTGTTTTGTGGGGTTTTTTTTGTTTAGCTGTTGGGTTGTTGTAATTTTTTTTTTTTTTGCAGTGACCCCTGGCTTCGTTTGGAGTGGCATTCGAGAGAAAATTAGCAGCTTCCTCTGCACGTGCCCCTGTCTCCCTCTGGAGCTGGAGGATCCAGCCCTGTCTCACCAATGCCCAGCTGGAAATTCCCCCTTTCTCAAAACACGGATTTGGGGGGGGTCTCACACCTCCCTCCCCACCAGGACCCACCATTTATATACAGCAGCCACTTAAAATGTGGTTTTTGACACACACACACACACACACACACACACACAGAGAGCAGAGTCTCCATCCCACAGAGGATTCCATTCCCTCCGTGGAATATTTAACCACTGGATTTGCAGAGGAATGTCACAGATTGAGGATGGGGAGGGTGGGGAGGGGGGCATAATTTTCTTTCAATCAAATAAAAAGGAATAAAAAAGAAAACCCCAAATGGTTTTTACACACGTTTGTTCAGAGCTCACCCTGAGAAAAGGCATTTGGACCTTCTGTGGCTCAAAACTTGAGTGCCAAGAAACACCATTTTTAAAAGGTGTGCTAGAAGCTGGAGGTAAAACTGCAAAATGATGGCACCTTGGGTATTAATTAACACTCGTTAATTAATATTAATGATCCTTCAGGTTCATCCTGTACACTCCATAAAGCTGTTTTTTACACAGAGTTGCCACCTCAGGGTGGGGAAGGGATGTAGATGCTCCACAGCATCATTAAATCCTTCCCATGGAGCAGGAACTCCAATGGAAAGGGTCGTTTCCTTCGATCCATTGGCTCTTCTCCTGCTCCCAGGAGATCCAATGGCTGCAGGCAAAACGTGTGCTGGGTGACAGACACTCACAAACAGGCACCATCCACTCACAAACACACGGACTGGCTTTGTCACTGGCACTAAAACAATTGCTTTCAAGGAAGAAAACACCTAAAAATCCCCCCTCCCCCCAAAAAAACCACTCCAGCTCCAGTGTCCTATTCCCATTCCCGTTGGAGCTGTTCCTGCCGGGCTGGCAGCATCCAGAGGAGCTTTGATCATGGCGTGGAAGACCCTGCACTGCCCTGGGAGTTGTGAAAAAAAACTTGAATCCAAGGTAGAAACTCCGAATTCTCTTGGTGGGAGAGGCTCCAGTGCCAGCTCTGTGTTCCCAGAGCGTCCGAGGGCAAAGTCATGCCCTGAGGCTGGAAAATGGACGTGGGTCATGGAAGGACACATCCAACAGGTCTTTTAAAAGCGAGGAGGGACCCAGTCCCTGTGCCCTCCCAGCCTGTTTGGCGGTGCTGGAAGAGGGGGGAGCACTTCCAGCCCTTGGAGAGGAGCTCCAAGTTATCCCCGGCGCGCGGGAGGGCAAGGCTTGGTGGGCAGAAGCTCTTGGGAAGAGCAGCCAAGGGCAAACAGGTGGTTGGGACACGTCTGGATAAACACAAAGCGTGGAAATGAGGTTTCACAGCTGCTTCTGCACATGTCCAAGAGGAGGAGGAGGAGGAGGAGGACGAGGAGGAGGAGAACCAACAGAGAAAATCAATGTTTCCCCCCCCCCAGCACCTCTCAGTCCAGCAAACAGTCATAAGACAACCAAAGAGCAATGCTTTCCTGCCTGCTCAGAGCAGGCCTTGGTCTCTCTTCCAGTGCATGGCATCCCTGATTTTAAACAGAGCATGAAGGAGAAAAGCACTTGAGATTCTTACACACATAAATTAGAGTGAGAGGAAGGAGGGGGGAGGAGGAAGGTCGGGTGAGCACGGGGCCAGGGGGAGGCTTGGCAGAGCCAGACCCCGGAGCAGGGGTGGCAATTCCCACCTCCCTGCTCAGCCAGCACTGCAGAGGGGACGTTGGGGCTGGGCAGTGAATCCATGAAGGCCACAGGTCTCGCCAGCACCAGCATCTTTTCCCCTCCGTGGGCGTGGACGACAACCCAAGAACACAAGTGAGGGGGGGGGGAAAAACAACCCCCCCAAAAAAAAGAAGCTTCAAGTATGAAGAAGATTTACAACACCATGGGCAAGCTCTTCTGTCACTTCTTGGAGACTTGGTTCAAGGTTTGTTCTTTGTTGCTGCTGTTTGATTCGAGTTCTGCCCGACCTGGAGAGGCTGCAACCGAACGAGTAACCCAAAAGAAAAAGGTGTCTCCTCCTCCCCTCCCTTTTTTCCCCCTCCCCTCCCTCCTCCCTCCCCAAAAATATAAAAAGCAATAAGTTTACAAAAATAGAAAATAATTACAGCAATAGGCAGGAGGGAGGGAAGGAGGAGGGAGGGTCTCTGGGGGGGTCTATTTGGCCGAGCAGTGTAATATCCTGGGGTTGTTTAAAGCGTCCTCCACCAGGTGCAGTTCTTGGCGGTCCACAAGGACATCCCGTATGCAGCCAACGAAGCCGGTGCTGTAGGCCTTGGGCAGCTTGTGAGCCACACTCAGCTTCTCCAGCCCCCCTGCAGGAGACACACAGAGCTCAGGGAACGGGGCAGGGGACACCCAGACTGTCCCCGGCAGTGTCACACCCCCCCGCACACACAGTGTCTCAGGAGGGAACTAAGGGAGGGGATTTTTTCCTGGAAAAGGGTTGTTAAACATTGCAAGGGGCTGCCCAGGGAGGTGGTGGGATGCCCATCCCTGGAGGTGCTCAAGGACAACTGGATGTGGCACTCAGTGCTCTGGGCTGGATCCCAGGGGGTGATGGGGCACAGGTTGGACTCGACCCCAGAGGTCTGTTCCAACCTCAGCCAACAGCAGGGAGAAACCTCTTTCCTGGCTAATGGTAAATATGAATTCATTAGTCAGTTAAATTAATTAGTTTTATGAAAATAAACAGTAGTTATCTTCACTTAGAACAGTCGTGCCAGTTCCAACCATTGCCTGCAGGTTTCCTGAAGACACTTCAACCAGCGACTCGTTTTTATTGATATTTCTATTCTCCAGCTATTTTTATTCTAAAATACACATTTCAACTCAAAAGTTTCCTTTCCCTTGGGGATTGGTCCCAAATTCAAACTGAATTTTAGTTCAGTTACTGCAACATCAATTCTGGGCTCATCACACAGGAAATACATTGGAATTATGAGGGGCTGATTGCAAACACAACTTTTGGAGGGGCCAGTGGGGAAGCCAAGCAAAAATTTCTCATGGACAAATTCTGCTTTGCACATAAACTTCCAGGCTGATTTCAGAAGGAGAAATGGCCCCCAGGATCCTCTCTTTTTCACAGGCAAGGCAACATTTTTGAATATGAACTCCTTGGGAGTCAGGTTAGACCTGAACTACAGGCTTAGACTGGGGAGATAAAAACAGATGCTTCCAAAAAGTGTAAATGGAATTCAAGTCCATTTTTCCCTGTGAGGATGGGGAGGCCCTGGCACAGATTACCCAGAGAAGCTGTGGCTGCCCCATCCCTGGAGATGTCCAAGGCCAGGTTGGATGGAGCTTGGAGCAACCTAGGATAGTGGAAGGTGTCCCTGTTCATGGCAGGGGGTGGAACGAGATGAGCTTTAAGGTCCCTTCCAACCCAAACCATTCTGTGATTCTGTGATTCTAATTCACTGTTTTTTCCAGCCCAGCCAATGGCTCTCCTCAGGGCACACTGTGCCATGGGAAGGACTGGCATTGGTGGGTAAAGCCAACCCCTCATCCCTCAGTGTCACCACCACCCTGCCCTGGTAGGCAGAGAACAAGCAGGGGAATTTTTAGGTCACCTGGGAGACAAAGGTGTCGTGTTGAAGCAAGGCAGGGAGCATCCCCACCCCATTCCACCTCTGAATCCCTCAGCAAGGGGCACAGGGGACGCTCACCCTGCCCACACCAACTCACCCAGCCACAGGGCCCCGTCTGTGTCCAGCTGGGTTGCACCAAGAGGAGAAGAACCAGCGATGGGAGCTTCGTTCCCAACCTGGAGGGAACCTTCCCTCTGTACCCTGCTCCCAGAGGGAGGGAAGAAGGAACAGAAGATGATTAGAGGAAAAACCCAGAGGTGTTCTCTGCTTTGCACCAAACCCTGGCACTGGGCACCATCAGCCCTTCTCCAGCTGCAAAGGCGAGGGGAGCTGAGCCCTCCTTTCCCTCTGGCTGTGGCTCGGAGCGGTCCTTGCTCCAGTGCTCCCCTCCAGCATCCCCATGGCCTCCCACAGCCCCACCACCAGCCCTGCCAGTGGGCACAGCTCCCTCCAGGGCCACCAGCAGCAATCCCTGGCACGCCAGGAGCGTGATCCTCACCACTCCCACCGCCACCAAAAATAACGAGGGTACAGCTCGGGCTCAACGCGGCCAGAATGTCAAACCCTCAAATAAAAGGCACAAGACCTCCCAGGCCTCCTCGTTCCTGCCCCTCTGACATTTCCAGGCGTGCCCCAACACGCTGCCCTCCGCGGGGCACTGCCCACGTGCCTCTCCTCTATTATTATCCGGGAGCAGGAGCGATCCTTGGGGATCACGGGGCGCCCGTGACTCAGCTCGCCCGTCCCGCTCCCGCTTTTTCCCCTCCTTCCAGCCCTTCCCACCTGTAGGCTTTGATGTGGATCCACTGGTTGGTGTTGACTGGGACCGTGGATCTGAGGACGACTGGCTTGGAGCCCAGGTCGTAGGTCATCTGCACGAAGCCATCCACGATGGCCAGGGCGATGTAGTCCGAGCGCTCCAGCCCCTTCCCGCTCCACAGGATCAGCCCCTGGGTGGCCTCTGTTTTGATGCTCAGCTCAAAGTGGTTGGACTGCAGGGCCTTCTCACTGCGTGGGGAGATGGGGGCAGAGTTAAAAACAAGGCAGCTCCTTGGAGCAGCTTCCTCTTCCCAGCCAGCTGGCTCAACTGCTGGGATAACCTCCAGCCAGCTCCTGGCATCAGGCTACATGTGGGGTCTGTCCCTACCTGAGGGGTTGGCAGACTTTGGGGTATGAGAATGCCTGGGGTCTGTCCCTACCTCAGTGGTCACACATTTTGGGATATCAGAATGCCTGGGGTCTGTCCCTGCCTGAGGGGTCACAGATTTTGGGATGTCAGAATGCCTGGGGTCTGTCCCTACCTGAGGAGTCACAGATTTTGGGATATCAGAATGCCTGGGGTCTGTCCCTACCTGAGGAGTCACAGATTTTGGGATATCAGAATGCCTGGGGTCTGTCCTTACCTGAGGGGTCACAGATTTTGGGATGTCAGAATGCCTGGGGTCTGTCCCTACCTGAGGGGTTGGCAGACTTTGGGATATCAGAAAGCCTGGTGCCTGGGGTGGGAGCAGATGGGAAGCTCTAAACCAGGCCAGAGGATCAAAGGAATGGCCCTGGAGGTCTCTAACCCAGCTCCCACTCAAAGCAGGGCTCAGAGCAGGGGCTCTGCCCAGCTGAGCTTGGGAACACCAAGCCTGGAGCTCCTCCATCCTCCTGCTGACCTGAGCGGGCCTTGCACAGTTCTCCTGGTGTTTTTTCCTCACTATCCAGCTTGAACCTCCAAAGCCACGGGGCTCCTGCTCCTTCCTTTTGCCTCCCCGGAGCACAGAGAGCAGGAACATCAGTCCCTGCAGGCTGTGACACACCAGCCTTGCTCCCCAGGGCTGGGGACTGGGACAGGATGAGCAGTTTGAAGGGGAGGGAGGCTGCCCACAGAGGCAGCAAAGCCTTCTTTCTCCTAGATGAGGTGTCTTTTCCCAAGGGAGGAATGAAGGAAGGACAGGATTTCCTCCAAATTGGCATCCCCATCTCTGCCCAGTCCCTTT